ACAGAGACAGATATGAAAGACAATGGATATTGTGGTTCATACTGTATTTTCATGCTTCATATTGGCATTTCTGAAAGAGTACTACTGTGATACAGTTGAGATCAAGTCCCTCTGCAGAGAGGAGATATACAGCAATAGCTCAAGAACTTCTCCATGAAGAAATTAGATAGAAATGACTGAAGACAATTTGCCCCAACCACCTCTAGTACCCTAGGGCTTCCTCCAGGTGGTACTGGTCTTAATAGTCCCTCATTTGTTTGGACAGAACATCTTCCCACACACAGGATACCAAACTCGCCCTTCAAGGAAGGTGCACAGAGAATTGACCACCACTTTCAGCACTTTCAGAATTTGGCAGTCACCTAAGAAACAAGGTGGTCAGCTTCTCAAATTTATTTGAATGCAGGTTTCAAAAGTGTCCTGTAGATGATGTGGCTTGATGCAATCTGCTGAACAATACACAGCTGTACTTTGACACAAAGTGATCACCAAACAGTGCAAGCTGACTTACATGGGTCGAAGGTATCCATGAGAGCAACACAGGCCTAGGATAAAGGAAGGATATAGTGAGGCTCATATTATCTCAGTGACACCTTCTAAAACATGTTGTTAATGGACAGTGAAGATGGGCTTTTTCCCACCAATACTTTACAGTGTTTACAGTGCTAATTTTGTTCACTTCTTTAAACACTTGATGTGAGAAAACAGGTAATTCACATAAGTTATATTGAACCTTGTTAATTAGATGAAATATATTGGGAAGATTGATTTATTCACCACATTAAATAACCACTTACATGCAAAACTCTCTGTTTTCTGACTGGGAACATGACATGTTGGTTGCTTGCTGATTTTTTAATACTTAAATGAAACCTTTTGGCGAAGACAGAACAGCTTCTCTGCTTTTCATTTCTGTTTTTCACAGCTAAGCAGACAGCAACGCACTCTTAACAAAAACACAGAACTTTATTAGGCTTAGAGGCATGTGCAAGAGACAGCCATAGAAAAGTACTTCCAAGATGTGCTAATCATCTGCAAGAAGTAAATATGTTATGGCAGAGTAGCCAATGAATAGACAAGGTTGTCAGGAGATGTGCAGGCTGTAAAACATGCTGCAAGGTAACTGCACACAGAAGATGCCAAAGCAATCTCCAAGGCTCTTGTTATGTCTGTTTCTCACAGCTCAGCACCACATTTAGACACAGAGGCCAAATGATGCAGCTCTTTGACTTCCCATTCTGCGGTTACACTTCTGGGCCCAAGCCAGATGATCTCGGCCTCGTGCTCCAGTGCATCGTACAAGCTCAGCTGTGCCCAGCTCTCACAGCAAGGGCAGTGTCCTGCTCTGCTCAGGGCCAACACACACCACTGAGTCTGAACCCCTCTGCTTGTCACGAGTGGCCAGGTACCCTTTTGCTTTGGAAGTTACTGCCCCTCCAGTCCAACTGATGTGCATTCAGTGTGTGAAAACTCTGTCATCCAGTTAAGTCCTCAGATAGAAAAACCCAGTCTGTGCATTTTACTTGGAATTTTGACAAAATTGGGGTGGGGGGAGGGGTGCAATTATGCAAGCATCTCTTCCAGCAGATCAGAGAGGTGATATCCTCTGAGAGCATAAGTGGTTATAGGCAGCAGTGGGATGTCTGCAGTGGGATTCCTTCCTGCCTGACAGTAGTGTCCTCCTCACACCAAAAAATGTGTCTGCCCTTGGTCTGATTCTGACTGAAACTGCTTCTACCCTTAAAAAGGAAAGAAGTCTTAATGCTTCATTTATTGCATATATTTGTAAATTTGGGCTATGACAACACCTCAAGGAGTGAAGACGAAACTAAGTATTCAGGTTTTCCAATCAAAGAATATACTTGATTGTCTTTCTGTTATTTGAAGGAGGTTTTGAATGACATTCAAGTCTAAGCTTCTCCATTAGAGTGGGCAGATGTCACATTTTCATATAAAAACAATTTATTATATGTACATTGTAATAGCAGGTGGCCGTTGTCCTTAATGCTTACATAGCAGTGATCTCATTTAGGCTGACAATCTGTGAGCTACACGCAGCCAAGCCATGGACCATTCCCGCAGGGTAAGGACTCCACAATGGAGCACTTCCACTGGGCCTGTGCAAAATGGACCCCACCAGCACCAAAGCTGCCTCTGACAGGATTTACTCACATGACTCTGTTCTGCAGGACTGGACCTCTGGGCTTCTTCCATTAACTACTAACATATGCAACCACTGAATCTAATTCCAGCTCCATCTTCAATCTGCTACAGATGATTTTTTACTGTGACATATCATACACGGACAGAATAATGGCTTTTTGCCCTCAATACCTGCTTAAGAAAAAGTAATTCCTGACACAAACTCACATTTACAGGATACCCAATGTACAATGCCATCTTTCAGCTCTACCAGTTTTGTACTACTCCTCTTCCATTTAGCTTTAAAGAGGGAAAAAGTGACTGACTCTGGTTTAATAGTATCTCTATTGCTAGAAGGAAGGGTGTGACAGTATCTTGAGGTATGGCACCTCCAAAATGCTGCAAATCTACTGTCTTAAGTTATATGGAGGGGAAACATCACTTTGTTGTCAACCAGTTGGTAAAAAGGACAGTTTGGCACAGTGAAGAGGAACTATTAAGAATTCACCAACAATTTTAAAGATAAGCACCCATCTACATTAGGACACAGAGACCAGCAGTGTTTGATATTTCTCTCATCTCACATTTATCTATTTTAGAGCACTCTACCCATCCATACAGATTCAGCAGAAAATCATTCTGAAATTAAAACAAGAGTGAAGAGAAATTGCAAACAAGAATAAATAAGAAGCAAGGGACAACTGCACCTTGAGGCTCTCAGTTATTAGAACAGATTTCAGCAAGTGCCTTGGAATGATATAGCTGTTTGTCTAGAGTTTCCAAGACAGGTTATTCAAGGGCACACACAGCCTCTGTCAGGACTGAGCTCTGCACCATGTGGCTCTCAACCAGCTGAGGGGCTGGAGGGCTGTATGCTCTTCTGGGCTGTAACCCTTGATCACCCCTCACAGTAAACATGTGCCCCGTGGTTCTCTGTATGTCAACCTCTACACATGTTCCACTCCTAAACAAATCACTTGCATCGAAAAAGGAGAAAAATGTAACATTATTACATTACATCATTGCATAAAGCACTGTGGTTCTATCAAGCTGCAAGGGAAATAATCTTTTGGGAGCATTTTGCTGGTGTAAGTTGAAGCCTGTTGACTTTCTTGCTGGCAAAACTACACTTGTTCATGGCTTTTATTCCTGGCGGGTGCTTCTGGAGCTCGGTCTTTAAATCTGGCAGCGCCAAACATCTGCAGCCTGTAGTGGCCCTTTTGTAACATCTTGCTGCTTTCCTCTCTTTCCATGGACAAATCCCAAAACTATGTGTCTTTTTCCTTATTGCTGTAATGGTACATTCTCCCAAGAATAATAAAAGCAGACTGGGAACACAATAGCTGGCCTTTTGGCTAAATATTTTGCAAATACCACATGAGTATTTTAGGCTTAATGACCTATTTGCATTTGACAGTCAGGGGCATTGTCTGATTCTCTGTCTTTTCACTTTTGCTTCTGTATTAACTGGTGTCAGTGTTCCTCATATACAGAGGAATATTATTAATCTGGTAAATTGCTGATCTGTTATGGCTGTTTTCCAGGTCCATCCAGCTATCTAAGGTGGTTAGTGTATTCCACACGTTTCATGGACTCTGACTCTAAATGTGTATTTAAGCCATTAAAATAAATGTACTTTTTTAAGATTTTTGTTTTAAAAATTGCTGATAAATTAACAGTGAACATATCAGAAAAATTATTATTTTCTTCAGTCTAAGTAGCAAGTTTTAAGGGCACCGCCGACAGTTGGACAAATGTAATGATTTCATGGACTTTTGAGGAGAAGGATGTGGATGCAGAAGGAAACAGCTTAATTGCAAGGATTAATGAAACTGCTACTAGTTCAGTAACAGCACGTGGTTATATGCTGCAAATGGAATAGCCCTTGTGGAAGGCAAGAGGACTTTTCAGAGAATCATTTAAGATTTTTTAAGTTCAAACATAGCATACACCAATTAAGAGGCTGAAGAGCTGAATAAATACTGAAGTAATTTGATCACATGCACAAACAAAGTCAAAGGCAATGGAAAAGTTAGAAAAAAATTCTGGGAAAGTTAATAAAACAAATAATTTAGGAAACATCTAACAATTACAATCTCATTCATCATTGTTACTCGGGCAAAAACAACTTACACAACAAGACTGTTACAGGTGAACAACAAGCGAATTGGAAAATAAGACAATGGAAAATTTGATATAGTTTGGAAGAATAAGGGGAGGACCTTAACAATCAGGAGAGATTCACATTGGGAACTCTTTGCCATACCAAAAACTGCCAGAGTTCTGAGCTTTGAATATGTGCTGAGAGCTAAGAATAGACCAACATTTTCTTGAACATATATCTTGTTCCTTTTTTCTGATTTTGATGTGCCGAGAAGAGTAAATGTCATATTTCTTTTTCCTTCTGAGAGGAACAGAAAAGCACTGCCCATATGGGCTTAACTTTCAATCGCTAGAGTGAGAAATGCAACAAATCGATATCTCCTTTTTTTTGATATCTTCGTATACATATAGGTGCAGGTGCAGAGCTCTGAACATATGCAAACACTAGCTTGTGTATACTGATGTGGAATCTTTTAATCAATGCAGATGCAACACTACAGAGGGTTGTGTATGCAGTTTTTGGATGTCACAGCTGTCTGCAGTTAAATAATTCTGCATTGAAAAAACTACACTAATGTCTGCATGTATTTGCAGCACTGTGCCTGAATGCAGAAAACTGTACTAAGTAGATTTCATCTGTGCTGATCCAAGACTATGTGGTAATGAATTTGCATTGAACATAATGACACAAAGAACAGATGATATTGAACTGATCTACTGCAATATGCTGATTTTGAAAAAAAAAATTCACTCCAAACCTTTCTTTCAGTTTATGGAAAGAATTTACATCAGCAATTGTAGCAACAGCCTGGTTTAGGTATCCACAAAGTGAGAAAAGTCCATTTTAGAGGGTTGCATGGAAAGGGAAGAATCAGAACTGGAAGCTAATATGAGGAGAAAAAAAAAAGAAATAAATAGCCACTCAGCAGACACATCCAGATCACTTAAATTAGACATGTATAACTCGTATAATTTCTCATTTTTTTGGCCACTAACATAACTTGTACAATTATTGCTTTGGACATTTTATTTCACTATAGTCATAATGCCATAAAATTACTTAAAAAGAGAATACTTCAAAGATTTATTATCTTTTTCCAGTATATTACTGTTGAGAGATCTGTTGTACAAATGCAGAAGAAAATATAGTCTTTGTTTTAAAGCAATTACAAACTGTATCATCTGTGGAATTAAGCTCTAAACAGATAAAATGGTAGGGATAACAGAAAGAAATTTACCTCTTATACAGAAGTCCAAGATAAAGGTATGATAATCACTGCAGTCTTCCTGTGTTTTGACAAAAAGGTTCAATTCTGCAAAGACAAGAATTTTGTTCTGACCAGCAGCAGGGAAACCACAGGGTGAGGAGAATCATTTGTCACACAGAAATTGTGAGATATGTTTGCATATAAACTTTTAATTAAAACTGCTGCTCTTACCCTACTGCTGGTGGAAGCCATAAGGGTGACTAATTAGGTCTCTTGCAACCCAAACAGTATGGGTGCTAACTGTTAGAGATTATAAAGCAGTATTAAGTCTGGAAGAAATCTGGTTTATGGTCTTGCATAGGGATCCATGTAAATGATCCTGTTTTTTAACACAGCTATTGCAGTTCTCAGAAATACCCTGATGATAAAGCCAGCAAGACTTGCAGTTACCCATAAACTTACAGATTTGGCTCTACATTAGACTGATAATGTAAACATAGGTCCTGGTTAGCTCTGTAGTGAGTTCTGTGCTGGCAAATTCCTGTTCAGCTCACAGTTTCACTAGGGCTTGGCAGGGGAAAGGGGTCTCACAGCAGACTTGCACCAGAGCTTGATCCTTGGTGGCATTATGCTGCCCTGTGGGTCTCATGGTGCTCTCCAGAAAAAGCGTTGGCCAAGGTGGGCAAGGGCAGGATGATCAAAGGAGGCAAATATCTCCAATCTGCTGCTGCTGGACATTGATCAGAGGAGAGGAGACTCTGTTCCCCAATATCAAGAATTGCCACTGCACTCTCTGGGTTGTTATTGCATACAGTTTTACAATCAAAGTGGGAACCAAAGAGTAAAGTGGTCCTGTCAGAGGTTACAGAACAAATCAGTGCAGGAGATGGGAACACACTTACTCCTCAGTAGGAGTCTATTGATTTTTTAACTGCTAGGCACATTTGGCTGCTGAAAGAGTCATAGAGCTCAAATGAGATACAAGAACAAATAATTCACAGCAGACCTCAAAGATGAGTAATTTTGGCAATGCATCTTACCACCCCTGTAATTTCTTTTCTCAATTATTTTAATGGAAGATGTTGAGAAGTGATGTAGAGGTAAAAAAAAAAGGAACAGGATTTTGCCTTCAGCAGTGGAATATGGATTGTGAAGGAGTGCAGAAAAATAGCCCATGATCATCCACTGAAACCTGAAGGATGTCAGTGTCTTGCCTAAACACACACATTTTAGCTTTTTTGGGTATCTCACTTGGTCTTCAGCTGCCATTCCAGGGTGAAGCACAACTTCCATGGTTCTCCTGTCTTCTCTTCTGGCCTCATTTATCATCTCAGTATGTATGTAAATGGAAATAAAGCTGCATTTGAGGAGTGGTGCTTTGTTACAGTCCAGGCTGTTTCTGGACTATAAACCAGCTGGGTTTGGTATCACAGTGTAGTTAGTTCTCATTATTGGTTATGTCCACACCTGCTGCGCTTTGGGATGTAAGTGATCACTCTTGAGTTCACTTGAAGTTTCATGAACAATAGTGTGTGCAAAATTCAAATTACTAGAAAAAACACTGCCTCTCTTTTAGTTCATCCGTCATGTTTGTGGATCAGGCTGGTCTTGGAAATGGATTGGTGCAGCTGGTCTGCTTGGGAAGAAAGAAAAGATTCAATTAGTAGACTAAGTTACTGATGATATTGTCTGGAGAAAAGAGGCTTTCTTTCTCCAAAAACTATTAATCTCTCTTTCAAGCTAATCTCTTTCTCAGAGGCCTAATATGTTTGGAGAACTGTATTACTGGAGGAACTGAGATAGAAATGGGACATCTTCCCTTCTTCTATCAAACTTAAATTATGCCTAAAGAATTATGCAGGAATTGGAGACAGTTAGACTTCAGTAATTGACTCACAGCTGATAATGTGGGGTCTTACTCTGACCCTCCAGAGGACAAAATCCCCTTTACAGTGTCAATGGGACTGTTGGGATCCCAACATCTGAGAAAGGCTTCTCAGTCACATTGCCAGGAGAACACCTTAGCCACAGAGAAGTGATTTTGACCTTGCGATTTAGGGGTAAAGTGTTACTGAAACTGTGGACAGGCATTTTAACTCTTTGACAGGCTGTAGATACTGTTATTAAATAAAACATGTTTCAAAAAATCAGTTTTGGAGAATTTGGCAAGATTTTTTAAATTTTGTAATTTCCAGAAGTCAGCAGGAATGTGTAATTTCATCAGAATTTGGATCAGAATCTTACTGTGTTGAGATTTTGTTGTTAAAAACGTAATTTCTGCACCTCAAGAGCCACAAGATATGTTTCTGTCAGAGGATACCCTTCCCCTGTGCCATGCTGGACAGAGCTTGTTTTTGCTGGTCTGGAGTCTCCCTTGAACACAGCAGAACACTCTTCCACTCTGCTAGGGTCTGTTACCAAAAATTTCTCACCAGCTCCTGCTGTCAGGAAGGAGAAAATGTAGGTTACCATCTTCCTCTTTGATTTGTGGAATGCAGAGTTGCTCACTTCTGCTGATGAGAGCCTAATGCCTACTTAATTATAGAATCATGTGTCATCCTAGTCTTCTTCAAGCAACTTAGAATTTTTAATGTAAGGGAAATGTTCTGAAATTGTTAATCACAAGGGGTCCAACCCCAGGAACCAAGTATCACCTAGTCAGCAATACAAATACCATTATATCTGAATACCTGCTGCTTGTGTAAATTGTGGTACTTCAATTTTTTTTACTTCCATCATGTATATTTGGGGGTGGATATAATTTTCCTATTGAAATCTATATTGATCTCCAGAGTAAATACTCTGTTATATTAGTTGCCTATTTAAAATGTTTGTGGTCTTGTATTTCTTCTTTTGGGTGTGCCTGTGTGAAGTCTGTCATTGTATATCTAAGAATATAAGAAAATTAAAACCTATGATTTTTTGACTTTTGGCAGCTATATGGCTTGGAGTGACAACATAATGCAATGGGGTGAGATCACTGATTTGAGATGTACAGAACTATAACTGATGTGCTATTTGTTATGTACACATGTATATGTATGTATGTAGGTATATATATAGAAATGAATATATATGTCATGGCACTGAACTGCTTCTGTAGGAAGATTGCTCCTGATAAGAGGTGATTAGGGAAGGTCCACACAAAGCTGGAAGGGGTACTGGCTGTGGTACCCTGTGAGTTTGCTGTCCATCTGTCACTGTGCTCCTGTTTTAGGTCTTAGAGCTGGCATGAAGTTCCCTTAGCTGTCTCACCAACACTTGTCCAAATAATGCATTTTCACCTATAGAGGTATCATTTCAGCAGTGCCATAGAAACTTATGTATTGGATCAGTGTCATATACTGTGAGTTTTATAAGTTCTGCTTCCTTCTGTCACAGATCTACACTTGTATGAAATACACGTCTGGATCTCACTTGAAATCAGGAGGAGTTTGGAATTCAGGCATCACTTCAGCTGTTTTCCCTGTATCTCTGTATGTTTGGCATAGTGATACAGGTTTTAAACTCTCCTCCTAGACTCCTGTCTCTGATAATTGCCACTCCAAAAAAGGTGCCATATCTTCCCTGATTCTAAAGGATCAGCATGGAGAAGCAGATATGGGCTGTTGATGTGGGTTGTATGTACAGCCCCTTGATGCAGGAGGTCCTTAGTCAATACCTCTGTGAATCTCATCACCATAACTGCATGAATGCTGCCTGAAGGCCAAAGGTTATCAGAAACCAGTGAGAAGGAGAGGGCAAGAGTGTCATGAGAGATCGTGTTGGTGGTGCTGCCTTCTTAGGCACAGGTCAGGTCTGAGTCACAGATCTCCTCTAATAAGCACCACACATTTACAAACTTTTCTGGGCACACCGAATCTGTGAAACTGGGCCATGATGAGCAGTGAGAGGGGCAGGATGGAGAGAAGGGCAAGTTTGGTTTAGAGAAGCCTTTGGTTCAGTTTGGATCACAAATTAGAAAAGGAAGGTCAGCCTGCCAATGAGTTGATGATCCACCTGAAAGTCTGCTCATCTAGAGGTCCTCAAAGTAGGCTACAGCTCTGAATCAGTTGTGAGTCCAAAGTTGACCATGATAGAGGAGATGCTGCATTTTCCTGACCAACTGTCTTTATACAGTCCCTTGTATATACCTTGTATAGTCCCACAGCAGACGACCTGCCCATGGGCCTGGGATCTGAAATAATATTATTTTCACTTCAGCAAAGATCTCAAATTAACTCACAATTTATTACAATGGTAAAATACTATGGTCTTTCTTATGTTAGTTATTAACGAAAATATTTTCACTGGAGGTTTATTTTGCCAAAAACCTCTGAAATTAACTGCATCAGTGAACTATAATATAGGTAAAGCTCCATATAAATTATTTGATAGGGAATTAAAAAGTAACAAGGCAGCAAATCTTGAAGAAATCACTTACTCCTTGATTGGATTTGAGACCCCTCAGGTGACTCAGTTGATTTGCCAGGAAATGTGAATTTTAAAACCATGCCAACAAAAAGCAGAGCACACCCTCAACCTAAACCAAAAGCCATGCCTGAAAGTTTAACACACAAAGTTTTAGCATATTCTCAGCTATGACTGATTGAGGTTTTTGCTGTTCTGCACTGCTCAGGGGTCTCTTTTAATTAATATCAAACACTGTGGAACAGAAGGAAATACATTAAAAAGGAAGTTATTAAATTTTCCCCCAGCTGTTATTGCTAGATGTGCCATATTTTTGACTACTGATTATTAATAGAATTCTACACCGTAATTCCGATGCTGCTATATTACATATTTTAAGAGGCAAAAATGATCTGGAAATGAGAGCTGAGGTCTGGGCTACAAGATTATTCATCAATCTCTTCCACAGTGTGACCTTGGGAGACTGCCTCAATTTCCCCATCCCTCAGTTAAGCTAATAACCTCTTGCTTCCCATGGTCGCTGGGACGTTCAGTTAATAACTCAGGTTTCTCTCAGGTCTGCAACTACTTCTTTTTGTGCTATAGGCTCAAGTGCACCACTCCCATCATACAAGGTTTGGGAAGAGAGGTTTTAGCATCAGAAAGGAAATCTCTCCAGTCCCTGCAGGGTTGCAGAGGGCAAGAGGAGACACTTTGACTTGCAGAGAAGGAGTCTCCTATATGAAAAGACAGAAAAGGGATGAGCACTACCTGACAGCTGTCCCAGGAGCTGAGCACTCTGTAAGAACAGGAACCTGTCTGGCATGTGGGGACAGATGCTCTTCTCTTTGTGAAACCTCAGCAAGGCATAATGCAAAATATCTGCAGTGAAAGGACACACATATGCAAAATACATCATAGAGTAAGAAGTGTGGAAGAGAAAGGAGAAAGGTAAATGGTACCTTTTCAACTATGGGTAAATAATCAGCAGTTTTATGAAATGTGCACAGAAACTGTTTGCAGGTGATGTACACAAACATCAGAAAATTTTCTCCTGAAAGCACTGCTGTCCTAAAATGGTAGCTGCAAGTTGTTTTAAAAGATAAAAAGCAAGAAAGGGTTTCTGAGATCCAGTATCCAGCTTTGAGGGCAGAGCCACACAGGAGACTGGAGTCATGGCCAGAATCCAAGCACTTCATTATGTTGTGCCATTTCCTAAATAAGAGGCAATTAAAATGCAGCAACTTGTGCTGTTCCACTGCAGTGTAGCCATTAAGCTTCAGTTTGCACGTTAGGGTCCTATTTGGCAAACAGAATATTTGTGCTAGTTGCGTAAAAAGACACCACAAGACCACACACGTGCCCTGAATGCCCAGTGTGACACTTTGGAAAATCTGTCTGTGTTAAAATTGAGTTCTGGTGAGTTTATGACGTTTTTTTATCTATAACACTGTGAGCCAGGCTTATACTTAAAAGTACATTATTGGTATTTGACTATTAATATAATAAAAAAGCATTCATGGTGTGGCATGACTATCTACACTAGTAGAGTTGCCCTCCAAAATGAAATGAAATTATGAGCAGAGTTTTTCTGTGGCATCTAATCTTCAGGGAGATTTTTTTTTTTTTTTTTTTTGCACACT